ATATTTAAAAAAATTATGAGTGTAAGCGAAAGGATTTTAACCCAAGCGAAGCATTTCAACCACTTTGGCATGCTGTATTATCTTTTAACACTGTTTCATAAACAAAAGACTTATTAAACTTTATAAAACGGCATATAAAATAAGGAGATAAAATTATAAAATAAGGAGATGAAATGCTATAAAATAAGGAGATGAAATTTTCAAGTTAAAGTAAATCTGTAAAAATTTATATTATCTACTTTATAAAAATACTGATTACTAATTACAGAACATGAAGTTTACATGTTAAATATATACATTACCGTCATAATTACTCGAATGGTCATATTTTTTTAATATAAGATATCAAACTTTAATTAACTATTGGGAGAAAAACTGAAAACAATAATTACCTGAATTATGTTATCTTCCTATTTATTAGGTCTACAAATAAAATCAATATAAAGTTAGTTTATAATTTACTTGCCTATTAATCACCCTTATCAACAATAACCGTCATATATATTCTTGGCAATTCTACTTAACGACCAAGTCAATTCTATGTCACAAACTAATAAGCTTTTTTCAAAAAAGAAATAATAACACCACTGTAAATCAATTTATTTATACATGATAACGAAACAAAATATATAAAAGTTTTATTTACAAAAAAAAATTCAACTACATCTGCATTATTAACTAACTACAAAAATACTAATTAAAGATATAGCGCAATATTTTCCCACCGCTATCTTCTCATATTTTATTTTTTACAGGATCCATACTAAGGATCCTTCTCATATTTTATTTTTTACAGGATCCTTATTAAGAAAGAAAAAGAAAAAAAAATGGCGGAGGAGAGCGAGCTTTTGCTCTAAATTCGGGCCCACAACTTATGTGCCTCGCGAACTGCAATATGCTGAAAAAGCATCGTAAGATATATCTACGATGAAAAATTATCATATGATAGAATTAAAAACATCTTTATATAATAATCTTTATATAATAATACTACAAACCAATTTGCCTGCTGCTATTTTTATATAGCATTTTTAAAATCGGGCAAAATTTGAAATGAAAAGGAATTAATAACAAAATTAATGAAAAAGTCAATTAAACAAAATAACGAAACATAAAAGCTATAAGTGCAAACAAATTTTGTAATTTGACTGAAACACAAAATTATTTTTACCTTGATGGCAACAGACTAAATTCTTTATAAACTATTAGCTAATGATCAACAAAGTAAATTTTAAATAATTAAAATTTACTTAGTTAAAACCATATTTAACAGTAGACCAAGTAAACTTATGATAGTTGCTAAAGTACCAAAGTAGAACTAAAGAAATAAAATAACAAAATTTAAAAAGTTTGTAATACAAAATAATTTATAATACATATAAAAGATTAACTGCCGTTTAAAGTATTCACAAAATCTTAACTGACAATAAAATACCATCTTGCCGTGGATAATCATAAACACAGTCACAGCAGCAAATCATTTCAATATTTTGCATGTTCTACTGACTAAAATTTTGATAGTGTTTAATGCAGAAACAGTATCTTTCACCAAAAATTTACTTAATATTAAAAAAATAGAAACAAAATTTGGAATTGAAAAAAACGCAAATGTAAAATTTTTAATAAGTAAATTTTAAAAGATTCTTTTAAAATAAATTAACTTAATAAAATCTTACCTGAATATCAAACACCTCCAGACAATAACACTCTACTAAATTATTAGATTCATAAAAAATACGATTGAATATCTAACACTATTTAAAACCAATAATAATAAAAAACAACTTACTTATATTTAAAATAAGGTCAACATTAGCTTCTATAAAATTAACAGCCTGTCAAGATTCATCCCCTACTAAACAGACTGTTTCATTTAGTAAAGCATTAAAATCTTTAGCAACTTCAAAAACAAATTAACAAATACATACTACATATAAATAAAAGCATACTTAACAATTATATCATTTATATGATAATAGAATCTAAGATATCTCAAGAAATACAAAACTTACCGCTTGCAAATCTAAAATGCCTTGTGCATAACCAGTTAATAGCGGTCTGACTCTTTCAAAACTATAAACACAGTATAATACTATTTCGATAGTTATCTGAATTGTCATTGTTGAGCACTTGGTTTAAAATGTTTAACGGGGGCAGATATGAAACTTTAAACTTTTTTATTATCTTAAGATTAGGTTATTTTAACTTTATATCATTTTTAAAAATAACCAAGTTGGAAAAAATGATTTATTTTAAATATAAAATAAATTTTTTACTCATATTCTTAATAGAAACAACTTATTTTATCCCCCTGACTGTGTTCAAAAAAAGTTTGTCGCGGAAAGCTTTAATTATTAAAAAGCAAAACAAAACAATTTCATAGTTCTCTTTTTATTGTGTTCTATTTTTGAATTTTTAAAAAAACCAATAAAAAATTTAAAAAAAAAAGAGAAGGTTCTAACGATTGGACTCAAACCTCGATAGATATTTCAGAATGTCGTCCGCTCGGTCACACTGGCAAATATTCCTTTACTAAATACTTAGATACATATAAAACACGACTGAATATTTTACATAAAATTACATAAAACTAATTATAAAAAAAAAACTTACTTACACTACCGACAAAAAGTTTGAGGCAGGGTAAAAATTTATGATTTCGAGATGTAAATACCCTTAAATTGTTTATTTTTTCGACTTCAATGAGTGTATTTATGTTTTAATTTATGATTCTAATATATCACTAGTAGATTAGAACTGTTTATAATATTTTAATCAACAAGGGATAGCTGATACATCATAATCTACATTTCTTATTTGTTTAAAAAACAAACATGGGTACTTGTTGGTGCAAGTAGAAGATCGCAGATAGCTTAGATTAGTGTTTCTTTGATTGAATGTCATTGTGAGTGGTCTTTTGTTCCCTTGTAATTAAAAACATATTGAAAGTTTATATTTTATTAACAAAATTTTGAATTTTTTTGTTTTGGAACTAAAAGTCCAAATAATGGCTAGAAGAAAAGAATTAACCATTGCAGAAAGAGAAAGAATACTTGTTTACCACGAAGAGGGCTATTCACAAGTTCAGATAGCAAAAAAAATGAAAATTTCAAGATGTTGTGTGCAAAGGACACTACAACGATACCATGAAAGTGGTGTCCATACAAGCAAAAACCGCTCTGGACGACCTAAAAAGACTAACAAACTACAAGATAGGGAAATAAAAAACATTTCCTTATCAAATAGAAGGTATACTGCCGAAAAAATCCGATCAGTTTACAATAATTTCAACGAAATTAAAATTAGCACTTCGACTGTCAAAAATCGGCTGAAGCAAGTTGGCTTACATGGACGTGTAGCTGCTCGTAAACCCTTATTAAGGCCAGTTAACAAAATAAAAAGATTAAATTGGGCTAAAAGGCATGAAAACTGGTCAATGGAACAATGGAAAAACGTGCTTTGGACAGACGAGTCCAAATTCGAACTTTTTGGTTCAAAACGACGCGTTTTCGTCCGAAGACATGCTGGAGAAAGGTATTCTGAAGAATGTTTAGTGCCGACTGTCAAACATGGAGGTGGCTCTGTCATGGTTTGGGGATGTTTTGGTGGAGAAAATGTTGGATTGATCCACAGAATTGAAGGAATAATGACGAAAGAAATTTATAGAGAAATTTTGGAACAACAAGTACTGCCGTCTGGTGAGAGATTATTTCCGGATCAATATGTTTTTATGCATGATAATGATCCAAAGCATACTAGCAAAATTTGTAAGTCGTATTTAGAAGACCTCCAAACACAAGAAGTACTAAAAATCATGGATTGGCCACCACAATCGCCGGATCTCAATCCAATCGAGTTGTTATGGGAAGAACTTGACAGAAAAGTGCGAGAAACGCAACCATCTTCTCGAGAAAGCCTTTGGAACATGTTGGAAGAACAATGGAATGCAATACAACCCGAAATACTACGTAAATTGATCAATAGAATGCCAAAGATTTGTGCCGCTGTAATAAAGAATAAAGGAGGATATTTTGACGAATCAAAAATTTAATTAAAATAACAATTATAATTAATAAATTTATAATAAAAAAATGTTTAATGTTTATTAGTTTTTGTATTCATTATCATTAAAGTACAAATCATATTAGAAAAAGTTTATTTATTTAGCAATTTTAAAAAATTTAGTACCTGCCTCAAACTTTTTGTCGGGAGTGTATATTCAAAATAAGGTCGTCTTTAGCTTGTATAAAATTAACAGCCAGTCAAGAATCAATACAACACCTATAAAACAGAATGTTTCATTAAGTAAAACATTAGAAATTTAAAGTTCCGTAATTTTAAAAACAGATGCAAAAATACATGCTATTTTTTTAAGTATATTCAATAATTATATCATTTATGACAACAATAATAGAAGATACAATGTCATTTCAAGAAATACAAAAATCTTACCGAGTAAACATTTGCAATGCCTCGTGCAGTTTGTTCAGATCAGTTTAAAGTGTTCAAGTTGACTCTTCCAATCACATACGGAGAATCATACTATTTTGCTGGTTTTCTAAATTCTGTCATTGTTGCGCACTCGGTATAGAATATTTAACAGGGGCGTTGTAAATTAGCTGTAAAACTCTAAATATTTTTATTCCCTAAATATCGATAGTTTTAACTTTTTTTTCATTTTAAAAAATAATAAATTTCATAAGATAATTTATCTTAAATTTAAAAATTTTAAATATTTTTTAATAAAAATACATTTTTAAAACCCCCTTACTGTTTTAAATATTCAGGTCGCCGCGTGGCAAGTTCAAATCATCAGCTTGCTTTTTTTGTTAAATGCACTTTATAGATTTTATATTCTATATATACACATGTTATATACTCATTTTCCTTGCGCGAACTCAACTTAGTTGGAAAAATGTAAATGTAAAACTAAAATAACATGACAATTAAGCGCAACAAATTTCTCCTGTTTTTTAATGTTTTTAGAACTTTTAAGCTTTCTTTAAAAATTCTCTTCCTTTCGTTTGTTTAAGTGTAAAATATTTTTACATTTGTTAAGTATATAATCTCTATACATAATCTTTATTTCGTACTTTAGAAAAATCGAAAATGAATTTAAAAAGAAAACATGCCATAGGTAGGATTCGAACCATGGCTCTTCAGGTCAGCTGCCAGCGAGCTGACCACTAAGCTATGCCACTATGAACGATTGAACAAATTTTAAAAATATATAGTAAATAAAAGTCTTTATAAAACGACCATCGATCAAAATTAAGATGTTGCCGCAATGCAGTTTTCAAGTGAAAGTAAAACTTAAAAACTTGATACATGTTTTAGTATGTTTTGACATTTCACATTTTGAAGTTTACGTAAGTTAGTTATTAGCACACACTTTCGTTAATGTTTGCTTATAAAAAGGTGCTGCGACTCTTCCTCGCCAGTACCTCGGTTGCAATGGCTGCGTTGGGTTTTGTGTCAAACGTGCTCGAAAGGGAACTACTACTATTGAGTTCCGTATTATTATATAAAGATGATATGTTTCAGTTTTAATACACAGAACACCCAAAAAATACATAAGTATGCAAAACACATTACTTGACACTGATCCTGTGAAAGCAAAAAAAAAAAAAAAAAAATTAAAAAAATAAATAAATTTATTAACTGACATAATAAAACAGAAATGTATTATAATGGCACTTTGCTTAACATTTGATTTTTCTAATGTTTCTAAATAGAATAAAGAAATTTATTAACAATAACATAGAAACTAATTTGCAATGTATAGAAAAACTAAAAAACCTGAAAACTAGAAAGTATTTAATGTTTGTAAACAAACAGCAACAGAATAGAAAAAAAAATTATTCTAACCTTGATTGCGACGTACTAATTTTTTTTTTACACTATTAGGTAATGATCAACATAGTAAAGTTTAAATGACAAAAGTTTACTTTAAGTTAAAACCATAGTTTATTGTAGATAAAGTAAATTTATGATTGTTGGTAGAGCACTAAAGTAAAACTAAAGAAAAAAATAAAATTCAACTAAATTAAAATGCAGTTAAACATGAAAAATAACTCTACCATCATGAGAAAAGGTAAAATTATAAAAACAAACAAACAAACAACAACAATAAAAGAATATTTCTTTTTATTAAAAATAAGAACCTCTTATTTAAAAAAATAACAGATAAGGACACATCAATGAACAAATAAACTTATCGATTAAAAACATACAGAGTGAAAAAGCAATTTTGAAGTTCTTTCACAAATTTATTGTAAGTACTTATTAGATACCCCCTAATTCAATGATTATTGTTGATTATTATAATAATAATTAACTGCAATTTAAAGTATTCACAAAATCTAAACTGAAAATAAAGTATTATTCTGACACGGAGAATCATAAACACGGCCACAGCAGCAAATTATTTTAATATTTTGCATGTTCTGCTGACTAAAATATTGATGGTGTTTAGTGTAGAAACAGGATGTACATCTTTTCAACAACTTTAGATAAGAGTATTCTCTTCCTCTTTAATAAGGGGAAACCTTTTTTTCTTGTTCTGGGCCCACACTCTATGTACACTATAGGATGTGGGCTCTTATCTCAATTGATAAGGGCCCACATCCTTATTCTTATTGAAATTGCTAAACGATATTTTAATTTCATACTTAATTATAAAACCTAATTTTAATCTTGCAGAGATTGTTACAACTTAATTGGCTAAAATAAATATCGAAAAAGTAAATATAATTTAGAGCAATCAAATTATTAGTAAAATATCTCATAAAATAGAATAACACAATCACATTAGCAAAAAATAATGTTTTTCTTAATCAGTTTTAAAGATGAAGAAAAATTAGAAATTAAAACCTACAATATGTTATAACCTGTGGCACTAAAATTAAAATACCAAACAAAATATTGTTATTTAATTTTAATTAACTAACAATATTTTGTAACACTTAACACATACACACAATAACACTTTACTAAATACTTAGATTCATATAAAACACAATTGAATATTTTACATAAAATTATTCAAAACCAATAAAAAAAAACAAAAAAAAAACTTACTTATATTTAAAAAATGGTCGTCTTTAGCTTGTATAAAATTATCAGCCTGTCAAAAATCAATGCAACACCTATAAAACAGAATGTTTCATTATGTAAAACATTAGAAATTTAAAGTTCAGTAATTTTAAAAACAGATTAAAAAATACATACTATTTATATAAGTATATTCAATAATTATACTATTTAGGACAACAATTTATGACAACAATAACTATATCATTTATGACAATAATAATAGAAGATAATATGTCATTTCAAGAAATACAAAAATCTTGTGTACACATTTTACAATGCCTCGTGCAGTTCAGTTCAGATCAGCTATAAGCGTTCGAGTTGACTCTTCCAATATTATACGGAGTATCATACTATTTTGATGGTTTTCTTAATTCTGTCATTGTTGCGCACTCGGTTAATAATATTTAACTGGGTCGTAGTAAAGTAGCTGTAAAACTCTAAATATTTCTTATAACTTTGATATCAGATAGTTTCAACTTTTTTTTCATTTTAAAAAATAATAAATTTAATAAAATAATTTATTTTAAATCTAAACTTAAATTTTCGAATTATTCTTTTAATAAAAATATACTTTTAAAACCCCCTTACTGTTTTAAAAAAATTTTAGGTCGCCGCGTGGCAAGTTCATCAGCTTGCTTTTTTTTTTTAAATGCACTTTATAGTTTTATAGATTTTATATTCTATATATACATGTTATATACCCATTTTTCTTGCATAATCTCAACTTAGTTGGAGAAAACTTAAAATGTAAAACTAAAATAACATGACAAATAAGCGCAACAAATTTCTCCTGTTTTTTGACGTTTTTAGAACTTTTAAGCTTTCTTTAAAAATTCTCTTCCTTTTGTTTGTTTAAGTGTAAAATACTTTTACATTTGTTAAGTATATAATCTCTATACATCTTCAAAAGTGATTAGTTTTGTATTTTAAAAAAAATCAAAAAAGATTAAAAAAAAGAGTTCCAGGCACGGGAGTTGAACCCTGGCTCCCCTGATTAGTAGCTCAGCAAGCTGACCACGAAGCTACGCCGTCTTACCAATTAGAGACATTTTTAACAATATATACTTAACGAAAAACTTTATAAAACATCTATCGGTCAAAATTTAAGGAGATGTTGCCGCAATGCAGTTTTCAAGTGAAAGTAAAACTTAAAAACTTGATACATGTTTTAGTATGTTTTGACATTTCGCATTTTGAAGTTTACGTAAGTTAGTTATTAGCACACACTTTCGTTAATGTTTTCTTATAAAAAGGTGCTGCGACTCTTCCTCGCCAGTACCTCGGTTGCAATGGCTGCGTTGGGTATTATGTCAAACGTGCTCGAAAGGGTACTACTACTATTAAGTTCAGTATTATTATATAAAGATATATATATATATATACATATATACAAATACAAATAAGCATATATAAATATATAAATATATATATATATATATATATATATATATATTTATATATATATATATATATATATATATATATATATTTATATATATATATATATATATATGTGTATATATATATTTATATACATATATATATATATATATACATATATATATATATACATATATATATATATATATATACATATATATATAATATATATATATATATATATATATATATATATATATATATATATATATATATATATGTGTGTATATATATTTATATACATATATATATATATATATATATATATATATATATATATATATATATATATATATATATATATATATATATATATATGTATATATATATATATATATATATATATATATATATATATATATATATATATATTTATATGTATGTGTATATAAATAAATATAAGCGATAATATATGTAAATAAATAAAATTATATAAGTGACTTAGAGGAAAATCTTACTTAATAATTGAATAGAAAATAATAAAAGATAAATAACAAACTAATAAAAATAAATCTTACTCGCTACATCTTCCAAATCTTGGCAAAAAGTTTTTCATTCATTTTGATGTCAAGAAAAAAAAGTGAACTCGTTTAAATACAGAAAAGTTTTAATTCACGAGGTCTTTAAGATTTGAAAAACGCATGCGCTAAACTTGTGACGCGCTTTCTAGGTCGGCGTTTTTAAAAAAAAATTACAAATGTACATTTAGTGCATTCTATATGGGGCTAACCGTGCGGCACTGCCTACACATGACCATTGAGTTTATAAGAATATTGAACTATACCCGGTTTTTGTTGAAGTTTGTGGAATTGATCGGGTCTTGCGTTTTTTTTTTTGAAGTTATGAAGGTCTGCGAATTTTTCAGAATTTTAAAATATATTAATTGACAATCCTAGACCAACTACGCAGTAAATTAATATTGTATCAATAAAAGTAATAATAATATATTGATATATTGATCGATGTTCACACAGAGATAATACATCCCTGCAAAACCACTAGGTTATTGCAACCGTTACTATAAACATAACCATACAACCAAAAAAGTTTATTTAGTAGGACAACCACTAAACACCAAACAAGCATTTAATTCATTAACTTCGCTGCCTAAAATACCATTGTGAATGGAAACGTTAGTAATCATATCTGGACGCTAAAATAGCCATAAAATGAGTAAAAGTAAATCTTGCTGGACAATTTTTTATTAGTTCATAATTTAATTTATGTCCTGGACACTGGAAACGCCAAATTTGACAATTAAATTTTTTCATACTTATGAACAATTTTATACATTTGAAGTCTGTCGTCTTATATCCAAACTGGTTCAGATCAAATATCTAAAGCGTTCTTCGTACGATAAATTATTTAATTCTGAAAGGATTTTTGTTAGTATGCGTTGAATTCTTTCCAGCCTCTCAATATCTCCTGTCAGATACGTACACCATATTATCTTTACATATTCTAAATAAGGTCGTATTTATGACTTATATGAAATTTCTATCATTTGTACGTTTATTATGCTAAATGTTCTTTTTACCAGAGCAATTATGGCATTTGCTTTATTACATGCGTTTAACACTTGTGTTTTCCATTTCAAATCCGATCTTATTATTCCTAAATCTCTTTCTTCATTCGACGAATCTAAGTCTAGTTGTGTGACATCTGCTTAATTTATATTATAATTGCACATTAAATTCTATTTGCCAATGTTCATAACTTTACATTTGTTGATGTTTAAGTTGATTAACCAGTCGTTACTCCACTTTAAAACATTAAAAATATCACCTTGTAATGAAAAACATTGTGTCAAATTGTTTACTTGAGCTATTAATTTTAAATCATCAGCAAAAAAATTTGGAAGTGTTTAAGATAATTTAATTCAAATCATTGATAAGAATGATAAACAAAGTTGGCCCACGCACGGAACTTTGTGAGACACCGCTCAAGACCACCACCCAACTTGATATAAGATCACCCATAAGAACTCGTTGTTTTCGTGAATATAAAAAATCTGCAATCCACTTTATTAATTTGCCTTTTATTCCCTAAGCTGATAATTTTAACAATAATCTCTGATGTGGTACTGACGTAAATGCCAAAAATTTTTATAGCGTTTCGCAAATTCAAAGATAGTACAAAACAGCTTTATCTTACTGTTTCCATTCCGTAACATTTTTCATATTCTAAGAGAATACAAAAAGTTGTCTGTTTATGTTTCCACAATTTTTTTTTGGAACAAATAGTTATATGTTATAACAAATGCGCAATATGTAAAAAAATATTTTTTTCAAATGAAATCAACATCTTCATGAGTATATAATTAATGTAGGCGACATTATTTAAATAACTATTTTGATATTGCTGCTTAAAACGCACATAACACATCGAACTGAACACAGAATGATTTAATTCAACTTGTTTAAACAACTTTGCTATAAGGCATCCCTCTCCTTCTCTTTCTCTCTCTCTCTCTCTCTCTATATATATATATATATATATATATATATATATATATATGTATTCGTATATATATATATATATATATATATATATATATATATATATATATATATATATATATATATATATATATATATATATATATATATACATATATATATATACACATATATATATATATATATATATATATATATATATATATATATATATATATATATATGTATATATATATATATATATATATATATATATATATATGTATATATATATATTAGATATGTATATATTTATATATATATATATGCATATATATATACATATGTATATATATATAAATAAATATATATATATATATATATAAATATATATATATATATATATATATATATATATATATATATATATATATATATATATATATATATATATATATATATATATATATATATATATATATATATATATATATATATATATATATATATATATATATATATATATATATATATATATATATAGATATTATATCATAGTCAATTGCATCATTATAAATCTTTTTTGTTCCAATAAGCAACAACATATGTATCCTATATTTTTTTCTTTTTTTTTTCAATTTTTCCATTATATATAACTTTTTTTGTATCTTCATACCAAATGTGGCATATATTTTTTCCAATGGCAGTTCCAGACATGGCATTCAAAATATCATTAAAGTTTGCTTTACTAATGTCTGGAAACTCAATTTCAAAAAACTCAACACTTATATCTACTGTTTTTAATTTTTTTTCTATTTTTTTCTTTTCTTTTGTATATATTTTGTTGCCTTTTTTGTTCTGCTCTGCGTGTCATCTCCTTATATACTTCAGACATCTTTAATCTATTAATCTCTCTTTTTTTAGTTGCGAATTTAAAGGCCCACTCCATCACAAATTCTTAAACATGTTTTGAAAGACCGTTTAAATAGTTTATAACGTTGTTTTTACTGGCATCCTCTAGAAACCTTTTCTAGTAGCTGAAGATCTGCACTTAAAGTAATAGAAGAAGAAAAAGGAAAATTATTTGGTAGCGACTGCATGGCTGGAAATATTGCTGTCTTGATGAAAGGTAACAAAGAGTTGCATTAGGTGCAAATTTCTCTGCTGCAATAAACATTTCCATCATTTCCTCAGCATCCATGTAGTGTAGCCTTGCAGATTCAGTCTCAAATTTCATTTGCTTAGCGGGCTTTATACTAAAGTATTTCTTATATTGCCTATTGTTTGTTTTAGATAAAGCAGTCAAGTAAACGGAAATAATTGCTTTCATATTGTCATCTTTAAGGCAGAATTCAATATGTGTCTTCCAGACAAGATCTTTTTCATCAAACTATTCATTAAATTTTTTTTTGTGATCTTGATAAGATTTGTAATAGATTTTTTCGACATTGGTTAACCATATTAAAAACTCTTTTAATAATAACAATACAATCCAAATAAGAGATTTGATTTTCAGCTGAAACATAA